CTCTTCCTCGCCATATGTGCAAAATCCAGGTTCATGTGGCAGGAGGAAGACACAGCTCACTCCAGTTAGGTGCCTGATTTTGATGAGTGGAGAGTCAGGACTTTAAGGATTGTCACTGAATGCCCTGGCCTGTTTGTCCCAGCTTGGCTGGGAATTTCTGCAGCAGAGCACAAAACAGTCTTCTGTTATGGGCTTGTGCACCTGCAGCCGGGGTGTGAGCTACAGATATGGTTAGATTTCAAATTTTATTTTAATACATGTAAATTTTAAGAGTATCTCTAGCACAGACAACTGTAGAGTACATGTAAAAATAGAAAGTAGGTAGTAATATCCAAGGTCTCCTCTTTTTTTCCCATGTAACAAGATGTCCAGGAAGTAGGTGGTTGCCCTAGTGATAGGCCCTTTTGATATGAGAAGGATAAATTTGCGTAAGGAAAGCATATGCAATCTGCTTCCTCAGCGGCTTGTTCCTGGAGCCTTCCTGAAGATGAGAGAGTTTCTCTGTGAAAGACTGCGGGAATTGTTTGCATCAGGAGACATCAGGTTGCAGGGCTAATTGTAAGCTGTTTGGAATTATATGACAAGTTAAGTCCTGGAGATAATTCAGCAAAATGTGACTTGCTGTCTCAGCCCTGTGACAGCCAGGACACAGACTTTAGAAAAAAACCAGCCAGCCCTGTCAGTGTGTCAGATTTCATATTTCACCAGGAACAGTGGAGTTCTCTTTCTGTCATCTGTGAGATGGGAAGATGGCGAGGGCATGATGTTTAAGTGCCGGACCTGTTGGCAGGATTTCTTCCATGTCATTTCTTCCCATTGGTTTCTTGTTAAGAAGAAGTTTTGTGTAAAATCAGTTTGAAACCAGGTGAGCTCCGTGAGTTTTGCAGCATAGTGAAAGCTGAAGGGGGGAGTGGTCTCACGGGGGCAGCGGAGGGTCCTGTGCGTCCTGGGTTAATCTCCGGGGAAGGATCTGCCTTAGTGTGTGACTGGCAGCATGTACAGGGTCAGGCAGTTCTCTGAGAAGGAAGACTGCTGGATGTGGCTTCGAATGAGACTTTTGGGCCATTGAATAGAGACATCATCTCTGAAGCAATCTTGGGAAGATGCTTCCCATGATGGAGTCCGTGAATGTGATCTGTGGTACAGACGTGTCCGATACCTCATCCTGATGGTGTGCTTCATTCTGCACGAGGCACAAGGCGATCTTCTCCCTGCAAAGGTGATAGTTTAGTAGAGCCATTAAGAGAGAAGCACTTACTGTAATTTCTGTTCCACAGCATCTGTGGTCATTTACTTCCTCAGGAACAGACAAGTGATGCTTTCTAGGCTGCTGTCCTTTCTTTTTAACTCGTATCGCTATCTCCACAAGACCACTGCATCTGATATGCTTAACTCCTTCCAGTCCTGTACTGGGTGTTGCAGCCTTGCTAATGAGATTATGGGATTTATGATTACAAATCTGAGCCTCACTTTAAACGCTTAAACTATTGTAATGCCTCTTGTCTTTTAGGGGAAATAATTGATTAGTGGTAGTGTGCCTCTTGTTCAAATAGAAGAATCCTTTGAAAGTATGACTTTACTCCAAGATATTCCTGTTCTTTCAAAACTAAATTATTCTCATTTGTGTGTAAGTCATGAACTTGTCTATTTAAGATAGATAAGAGAAAGCAAACATGAAAACAAGGAGATCAAAGATGTACATGAGTCTTTAATCTTGTCCTTTCCCCTTGAAAAACGTGCAACAAAGAACTGAGACATTTCATTAGTTTAAGTAATAATAATGATAAAAAGGAATCCCAAGCAATTCCTGAAGCAGGACGTAATGGCTCTTGTCTTGCTGAATGTTATCAGTCTGTCTTTGATTTCCATTGAAGAAACAAATAGCTGGCAAGAAATGTTTCCAGCTCTCATCTGATCCCTTCATTTAAGGGAGTCCGTGAGAAAAAATGTGCCACAGAAAAGATGTTGTGTAACTACAAGATATTCCCTCACATGTAATAATTAGCTATGCTGGAAAGCTCATATGTAAATCTCGTACGAGAGCCAAGGTTCACCTCTTTAGCCAGATCTGAAATTGCGCTCTGCTTTCAGTATCACATGCATTTTGTCAGTCTTCCATGTCTTTCCAATCCAATAAGCTTACTCTCTAAATTCAATTCAGTGATTTTAATTGGGTCTGAAGAACAAAGTGGTAATTTATTAATCGTATCTGTATGGTGATTAGGTCCCAATTTACAAACTCCATCCAGCTTCCTGCCATTTTTGGCTTCATGCTCTTGCCCCCCTCCAGCTGGAAACCCTTCCCGCTGACAGGCCCCTCTGAACTCTGGCGCAGGCGGTGTTCCCAGCCCCAAGAGTTGAATGTCTTCTGAGTCACCAGAGCTCCTAAGTCTCCCTCCTGCCTAACAGCACATGGCTGGAAACATGGATGGGGAGGGGAGGTGGAGAGATGAGTTCAAGTCATTTATTGGTGGCAAATGGGGATGCAGGGAGAGTCCCCAGTGTGGTCTGGGGACAGGAGCACACGACGTCTGAGGCAACTCGGCATGCTAAGCCGGGAGGGGAGCAGAGGAGGAGGAAGGGCTCTCCTTGCAGCCTTTAGCTGTGTAGCAGCTGGCTGGAGAGGAGGCAGAGTCAGACTCGTCTTGGAGGTGCACCGAAAAGGACAAGGGTAATGGACACAAATTGCGAAAAGGGAAATTCTGTTTGTATATCTAAAAAAAAAATATGGCTGTGAGAGCAGTTAAGCACTGGAACAAATTATCCACAGAGGTTGTGAAATCTCCCTTCCTGGACATATTCAAATCTTGACTGGACACAGCTCTGACTTTGAAGTTGACTCAGCTTTAGCAGGAGGTGGGACTACATGACCTCTCAAAGACCTTTGCAGCCTGTGATTCTGTCTCTAGATTGCTTCGTTTTCAGGTTACACAAGGGAACAGACAAGTCTTTGGAGCACTGATCCAGGCACAGGGTGCAGAGGTGGCTCTGCTGAGCAGTGACTGTATGAACTGCCCCGTCATGTTCTCAGCCTCTTGCAAGAAACAGGCATCTCCATCTCCAGCTTTTGAGAACAGGGGGGTTTGCGTAGAGCTGTCATTACATACTTTAGTCCTGAGTGGCTGTGACCCTGCCAGCACAGTAACAGTGTTCCAGAAATATGGGAGAACAGTCAGAAACATCATGTGATAAGCAGTTCGTGGTCTACTGGAGGGAAAGATAGAAAGGCAAAGAAGCAGCAAATGGTTATGTATGGATAGGGCGTTACTGTGGGACTATATAGTGCTTTGCCTGGAAGAAACTGCAGGTGCTTTAGCTTAATTTTTATACCTTGCATTGCTCCTGTAAAGTAGGCAACTCTGTATTGCAGGAAAAGAGAACAGCAGAGATGATTCACGTTTTTCATGGTTAACAAATGAACTGCTCACTTTCGACACTTACATCTTGATGAAGATCTTGAACTAGTACTGGAACAATGTAAAAATAAAGGCTTCCTCGGTCCAGTGTTCACTCTGCTTACCAGCCAAGGCCTCATTTAATAATGTATTTTTTACAAGTGTCATTAAAAAAAGAGAGGGAAGAAGAAGGATACCCAAATAGTGAACTTGTTAACATGCATTGCTACTCACTGGAATAGTAGAAGTGCTGTAGTGTGGCATCATGACGGGCTTATGTGCGGTCACCACTGAAACTCCATTAGAGTGACTTTGCCTCACTGGCCCTGGGTTACCAGCAAGCCTAGAATACCTGCTGTGCCTTTCTTCTGAATAACAGCATGACTGACCTCATCTGTTTATATCTGTAGAGAACTGTCCTGTTTCATGTACAGTCACTTCAGATTATTAAGAAGCCTAGGGAGAAAAGGTGATGATTTCTGCATGAAGAGATACTCTTTGCTTAAGAGCAAATTTTGTGTTACAGCGCCGGCTTGGAGATGCTGCAAAGAAAGCAATCAGCAAGCTGCAAGTCAGAACAATCAGGAAAGGTGATAAGGTAATTTTTCAAATTGCTCATTATCAAACGAAACTCTGTACTGAGGATTCCTTCAGACCACTGGGA